ATATATATATATATATATATATATATATATATATATATATATATATATATGTACTTATATACACATATATGTACATATATACATACACATATGTGCAAACATACACTCATGTACATCTGTACGCACATGTACACACATATAAACATATATATATGTATATATACATATGCATGTATATAAACACTCGAAGTATTTTCCAAAGAAAAAAACGATGGCTATGGACCAGATCTTCAATAAACGGCTAAGATAGCTGGCCCGATAAAAATCATACTGGCGACAGACCTCTGGTGAGCAGCCATGAATAAATGCATTGGCCTAATAGTGTACGTACAGCATGGCACAGAAGACAGCTTTTGGGATCGCGCAGTTTACTAATGGTTTCCACTCAAAAACCAATCAGATGGTCCGTAAAGAAACCCCCTATACGAACAACTAGAAAACTGACCACTCGCATCTTCAAATAAAATAAGCTTACACAGTACCTAACTTACCTAACCTAACCGAATACTAATTATACCTGGACTAATATTCACCTAATTATTACCTAACTTGTCTATCACTAGCAATAAAACTCCTCGTCTTTGTATTTCCCACTAAAATTGACCAAACTGCACCAAATAATTAAGAGTCGCAAAATAATATGCATACCATTTCATGAACGCTAGTGGAAAATCGAGTAAAATGAGACGTATTTAAATAAAATCAGCATCACCCCAGCGCCTTGTACTTGAAAATACCTTCTGTAATGGTGCCAGAAACATTCACATTAGCCATCAATACTAGTTTTGTGAAAAATTTAGAAATCATTAAAGCAGAAAAAGCCATTGCTTCCGAAGAAGAATCAGCATTACTTCATCAAGTGTAAAAAGTACTTCGTTGGATTTGAAACCACTCAGTGTGCAGTCAGTAAAAACGCTTCTCTATGTATTACAGATCAGACCACTTTGAAATGGTCCTGACACTACTACACGAATGCTAGGAATTATGAAAGAAAGGGCTTTGCCTTTCTGCTAACACTAAAGTTTCAACGTACCATAGCAATAGAATGGATCACTTGGAGTGAAGTATTTGAATGAAGATCTTGCACCATTCTCGGTAAACCTTGTGCTTTCACGTTGAGCCCGTCTTAGAAAAGAATGCGAATAAACATAATCCAACGCATATGTCGACCAAGCCGTTGAAGTTAAGCAAAGAGCGATCAGACACGATACTAGAAAGAAGTACTATTTAAGAGCTGTTATAATGTTGCGCTACCAATCACTAACCTTCAAGATTATCAAACAGTAGGTGAAGTAAATTTGATGGCAGTTCTCCGAAAGCTCCAAGAGGTGTTGGGATGCGCGGAACCACACGACCGCTGACAGACGAGTGCCCAATGGCGCAACACTCTAAACAAAAGTCTTTGTTGCAACTCTTATAACTGTTAAAAAAGTTTTTTCACAAACGCGTTCCCATGAAGCAACGTAAAATAAAGGGATAAAGCTCTCGGCGTTGATCAATCCTTGAGGATGCGCCATGCATTGAGCACCGTTGGAGGTGACTGAACGTATATATGGCCTTTAGAATAACTCACGGTTGCCTACCGATGTATCAAGCCAGTGCTGCTATCCTCCCAGACAAGTCTGGTACCAATTTTCCAACCCCGAAGGAATGGAGGAGCCCGGCGAGCCAGGGGAGCGGGAATCGATCCCAGTGTAGCAGGGCGCCTGACCACTGCGCCACATGAGTCCTTATGAAGTAGCATAGTATGGGAATAATCTGATGAAGTAGCAGGAAAACTGTTTGTGAAATTCCAAAATAAACTCCCCATGTTGGATTCCTTCTTTGATAAGGATTATACATCAACCTCGTGTAAACTTATAAAAGAAAGAATACATATTGATTAGCATACCGAGGTTGATCGAATGTTAATCCTGATATACTATTATCCTCCCTCTGCTGTTTTGGAAAATAATTCAACCGAAATTCGTACAGACATGAAGCAAACTGATAGAGATACCATTTAATGATCCTTGATCAATTAATTGAGAGCTTAACATATCTCGAAATACCCACAGCGGACTTATCAACCACAAAAAATTAGACCTTTGCTAAAAATTTTTATGACAGCTACAAAAACCGAAATTCTTAAAGTAAAGTCGCACCATTCTGAAATTCCACATAGTGAAGGAACAGAGGATTCATTCCATTGCAAGCTTCTGCCGGCGAGATGAACTTAACATCACACACTGTCAGACCTCGGCGAGCACGCTTGCAGCAATCCTTAGCTTCGTCCTCACGAGCACGTTTACGAACCGAGAAGTACGATGTGATCCGCGCTCCATCCTAAAGTCGAACTTTCGAAAACTGTTGAAGATACAGGGTTTTTCATAAGAGAGATAAGCCTAGCGATTACTGCTTATTCTTAACTTCAGACCTCTTCAAATTCAAGAAAGCTTTATAACCTTACGAAAATTTCATACTGGATCCCTAAACGACTGAAACTGAAAAGTCAAGAAAACTTAATCCAAACACTACAGAGTGGGGCTCGCGCGCACTTGATATCGATTAGCTCAAGATGTATCCAAGTCCTACTCTTACAGCGAGAAATCACCATAAGGATATAAGTCTTCCTATTCTTTTGAATTTTAATCGCATAGAAAATATATAAAGCTTACGACACGTCGGAATACTCTGCTCATCCATTGCGGATTTCGTGACGATACTGCTGCAGAACTCGGGGACGCTACTTCTTCTTCGCTGAACTCTCTCGTCATCAGGTTACAACAGTAGTATGGGTGAAAACAGATCTATGTAGCCTGAAAAAGGAATAAAATATAAACATAACCCTAAACAACAAAAGGAAGGACTAAAAGAGTAGCTAGTAGAAAACTGCTTGTAGATTTGACCCCACTCCGTTCGCCGTTCTCAAAGAAATTTGAAGCGTTTGCGCGGGAAATTTTCGTCACTGACTATGCACGCGCCAGACGCCACATTTCGTCCACGTTTCAGACGATAGCGGTTTTTATGCCATTTATTTATATCCGATTCACTTTTTTACTGGTAGTTTGAGATGTAGCTCTTTATAACTAAGTCCTTACTTCTTGATTCTGAAAAATAATAGGGTAAAGCTCTCGTCGTCGATCAACTCCTGAGGGATGAGCCATCCATTCGACTTCATTAAGCATCACTGGAGGTTAATAAATGCATATCTAGCCTTAACAATGACTTGCGGAGGCGTACCGATGTATCGAACCAGTGCTGCTATCCTCCAGACAGGTCTGGTACCAATTTGGCGACCTCGGAGGGTTGAAAGGCTTGGTGAGCCTTGGGCGTGGGGATCGATCTCACGCGTATTGCAAGGTGCCTATGACCACTGCGCTACACGCATCTGGTTCACCTGTATCACCTATAGTTCCGTTGGCCGACGAGTAACTCGAGCGGGAGCCAGTAAATCTTCCATTTTTCCCTGTCGCGTGCATGAGTAGCCCGGAAGATTCTGCTTGCTCTAGGGACTCGTTGAGTATCATATCTTTCTTCTAGGCTTTTTGTGACAAACTCTGACCATCGAGTCGGTGGTCTTCCTGCAGTCCGTTTAACATCCTGAGGAATCCATTTATTAACGACTGCTGTCCATCGGTTGTCATTCATATGCATTACGTTACCTTATCTTCGACTGTTTGGCGTAGAGAACGGCGCCTTTGACTTTTGATCGTTGATGCAGATCGGAGCTTCCGATCCCATCTCCTACTTGTGTGAAACGGGATACTCCTAGCATCGTCCTTTCGACTGCGCGTTCGATAACGCTGAGTGATCTTTCATTCTGCTTACGCAGCGACCAGGTTTCTGACGCATACGTTAAGGCGGGAAACAACGTCGAGTCGAAAAGGTGGGAGTCGGGTGTTCTTTGTTCTCTTCACTACATCTTCGATGCTCTTGAAAGCTTCCCAAGTCGCTCATTTTCTCGTGCCCAGCTCTGGAGCTAAGTCCTTCGACATGTTGATTCTCCGACCTAGATAGACATAAATGGAGCAGTCGGAGATATTGGTTCCGTTGAGTGTGAATGAGGTATACGAAACCAATCCATCCCTCATGAACATCGTTTTTGTGAGATTTAGTCGAAGACCAATCTTTCCACAGGCTTTATCAAAATCGGCAAGCATACGTTCCGCTTGGCTGTTTGGTGTTATAAGGACGATGTCATCAGCAGAACGAAAATGGTGTAACTGCCGACCATCGATTTTCACTCCCATATTATCCCATTCCATTGTTCGCATGACGTTCTAGCGTGTGGTGGTAAATAATTTTGGCCAGATTGTACTGCCTTGCCTAACTCCGCTTTTGACGTCAGTGTTAATATCGCTGTAGAATGGTGGTATTTTGGTTGCGAAATTTTTGTACAGCTCACGAAGAATTTTTGTGTACTGAGTAAGGGCTCCTTGACTATCAAGGGCTTCCAAGACTGCTTCTATCTCAACTGAATCAAAGGCCTTCTGTAAGTCGATGAAAGTGAGGCACAGCGGTCTTTTGTACTCTCGCGATACTTCAATGTTTTGTTATCGTGTGGATGTGGTCCTCGTACTAAATCATTTTCGAAACCCTGTTTGCTCATATGGCTGCCCTTCGTCCGGTGTAGTGTCAATCCTGTTTAGGATGACTCGAGTGAAAAGCTTGTAGACGACAGGCACCAAGCAGATTGGGCGATAGTTGCCGATGTCACGTAGGTCACCTTTCTTTAACAATAACACGCTCGTGCTGGTCTTCCACTGAGTAGGAACCTTGCATTCAGACAGGTAACGCGTGAAGAGCCGAGCCAGTGTGTTTACAAGGACTGAAGGAAGGTTCTTCAGGTGTTCTGAGCTTATCTTGTTCGGACCTGGTGCTGTTCGATTTCTCGCCGACGAAATGGCATGTCGGATTTTGGAAGTAAGAACCTGTGGTACAGCGTATCCATCCTCCTTTATTTCATATGACGGAAGGTGGACGTGGCTATCGAAGAAATCCAAGTGGTATTCGTGAGTGATTTTCTCCATTACCTTTTTGGACGCTGTAACTGTTCTGTCTGTGCGCTCGAGTGCAATCATTTTGGTCTTGTAACTGGCGAAGCTTCGGGGTAGGCTTCGCGAATGCTTTTCCCAGCCTCTGCAGCTTCTACCATTACTGCTACTCTTCTCTCTTTAAAATCTTCTTTTATCGCCTGTCTGCACTGTTTTACAAATTCGGACGTTTGTTCGCTGTTGCCAGCAGCTCGTGCGATTCCACGCTAGCGTATCAATTCGAGTGTTTCTGTAGACAAACGTCTCTTGGTGACTTTCGAGCTCGCAGTTTTCATAGCGCTAACGTGAAGATGTTGAATAAGCCGATCGTATTCCTCGTCGACGTCGACAACGGCATCTTCCCAACAGACAACTAATGAATTGAATAAGTCTGAGTTTATGGTGGTTCTGGTACTTCGGTTTCTTAATTTATCGGCTTTTTCTCCTTTCTCCGAGAAAGAAATTCTTGCACGAAGGAGGAGACGGTCTGATCCTGTGTAGAATTTTGGGACAACAGCGACATCGGTCAGGCAAAACCTATTTACTCTGGTGTGGTTTATTTCATTATGGTACTTTCTATTGGGAGATTCCCACGACCAGCGCAGGAAGATTTTATTTGCCAAAAACAAGCCTACTGTCCGTTTCGCTGGTTTGATGAGGGAAGGCAACGTGTGGATAAGGAGAATGTTGGAGTGGACTCCCAGAGATTCAAGACAACTTTCTTGTAAATCTGCAAAAGGTTGATCAGATGTTATCGTTGCATGCTCGGAAACACGCTGTACTCACATCTGACGTTAGCATTCAGATTCTTAGGCCATAGCCGAGCCTACGCATAAACTACACTAACTACGTGGAAGACAGTGGTAAGGGAAAGGAATGAGTGCAAGAAATGCTACCTGATGAAAAAGTCAGTTGAGTATCCAAATGGGCACGTATTTTGCCACATATTGCTTAGCTTGGACGACCACCTCTGTAGGATAGTTGGTGCAGAGGAACCACTCCCAGTTCCGGATGTACCGTGTATTGAATCAAATTATGACCACCATTTTTCATTTTAAATTTTAAGCTTTATTCGCCTTCAACAATTTTCCAACAAGTCGAAAACATTGTAATGAAGTAAACGAATTGTTGCTTGGACACATTTTTGTATTTCAATACTACAAGCGAAGAGATCAGATGAGTGTTTTGGCTAAAAGAGCATTCAACAACAACAAACGCTGGATTGGGAGATCGGAGTTTTCTTCAAATAATCAACTATTTCTCAACTCTGTAGACCATATATTTTGATTAAACATCTAATGACCTTCGTGGAATCACAGTGCACCGGTATTTTCTAGGAACATTCGTCATTCCTTCACTTCGTTCCAATGACGGCAACGGTTCTCCTTCTGTAAAACGGCTGGCATTAGCTTGTTCATAATTTCCTTTTCTCCTTTTTTAAATTTGCCGGACCATATCGTCTTCTGTCAACAAACAATCCAGTCTAATCCAGTAATGAGCTAAAATAATCGAGTTCCACTGTTCTGTAATCGCAAAATGTTCACCTTTGCCAACTACAGAAATGTGATATTCTTCATTGCCTTACCTATCGGTCGAAATTCGTACTTCTGCAGCAGAGTGGTGAAGACAAGAAAGAGTTCATATCGCGCCAGGTTTTCGCCGAGACATGTCCTCTTGCCCATTCCAAAAGGATTCATTTCTGGCTTCTTTTTGTAATAGCCGTTCTCATCAAGGAATCTGAAGTTTTCACTGGCTACATCTATTAGCTTATTTCTGTTTCTTTTTAGCCTTTAGTGAAGGATTGAAAAGTGGTTGGAACTCATCGTTCTTAGTGTTTTCTTTTTGTCACATAACGCGTCCTTGGTACTTTTTTCCACTTGTTCGATAGCTTATCTAATGCAGATGCCTATGTTAAGCTAGGTAGTACTTGCATGGTTGGATGCTTGGATGTATATTATCTCTACTTTTTTAGAGTTTTCCTAGTTTACCCATTGTGGTTACCTGAAGTCCCGAGGGTAGCCTAGTCAAAGTCTGCCTCTGGGCTAGGTGATACTTGAAGAAACTTATTAACTTCCGAAGGTAATCTTCACTGGATGAATTCACTTTGCAGAGAGAGTGTAGCTGCCGAGAGCAGTATCTACCTTAGAAACTAATTCCGGGTATACAAGTTATCGGTGCAGGGATTCCTTCCTTCCTTCATTCAGCAGATCGTACTTAAGCCTAGTCACTGAAAACTGAGTTACCTATCCATTTATAGAAGGATCATTACTGGGTACGAGCGAGCAAGCTAAGCTTATAGATAGTCTATCCAACGGCGGTTATTTTTTTGCGGACGAGGAAATGCTATGTATTTTTAATTATTTACGAAGAAAAAACTTTTGGACGAGTTCACGTTATGGTCGACGACAGATCGGTGATGAAGATAGCGTGCAACAGGGAGTATTTTGGAGTGAATAGAGCCGTCTCTTTTGTACTTCTACACTGAAGTTCTAAACTTAGGGACATTTCAGCCTATGATAAGGTGGTGAATAGAATTCAAAGGACTTGTTTAGGTGAATGGCGGTGCAGTTGTATGCCGTCACCAAACTCAGTGTTGTCTCTCGAAACCCTACCCTTTTCCTATTTTTCTACATCACTGTTTTTCTACGTAGTGTTTGTTTCCATTAATAATTTTTATCGGCTCTAGACTTTTATTATTGGCCCTTCTTTCCTTCGCAATGAAAATCACGACATGAGACGTACATTTTCCACGGCGTAATCCTACGCCTTCGAATAGGTTGAATTCCTATTTATCTCTTATATGGCATATAGTGAGGGAAGTCGCTTATCTCTAAATGGCACGAGTGATTCCTCATTGCATGTGTATTTTCCAGACCAGCATATTGTTCTTCAATTCCTATCGATAAGTTCGAGTAGTGCTCTGATCTTATATGTCGATCATATCTATCATTCATTGCCTTGTCAGCAAAATGTAGATGAATCAACAAGTTTTCAAATCTGTCTTTCCTCACAATATGAAGTGCAATAGATTGGGTTGCAGGGGCCGGATCGGAACTTCAGTAGCCTCTCAACTGTAGTATTCTAACAATTCTCACCTTGTAAGACATGGCGTGGTGTTATTAGCCAAATGCCAGTATTCGATCTGTAGCTCATCGGTTTCATGGACTGAAGCAGCAAAAATTGTCTATCAACATCATTTTCACCTTTATCGAAGATCTATGTCATCAGTGCCACTAATTGTCACTATGCTCATCCTCCAGTTCCATTCATTTACACTCTTCCACATGTAGGTTCTGTATTATCCTCCGCATTACCAGTCCCAGCACACTTCATTTAATACAAGCTTAGTACGCTCCCTCCTATTTTTGAAGCCTGTCAAGCTCTTAACTCCTCAAGTCCTTTAGTCACAGAAAAATTATCGCCCATTATCGAATGGAATTCGGTTTTTTACACTGTCTACGAACGATTGATGTGCTTTTTATTCCTACTCCTATAGTTTTATATTCGCTCTAATACCGTGACTAAGCTCATAGGACGATTAGTGGAAGGAATCGATATCGCTAACACGAAGCTTCCCTCCGATCCGCAAGGGCTACCGACTGCTTGTGGTGGAGACCTAGAAACAGCCCAGCGATGTTATGTCAGGACTCTGAAGAAGAACAGATTGTCCAACCAGCAATTAAGCTGACTCACTGCTCCACACACAGGGTGTTTCTGTCAGACGGTGAGAGAACCGGTAAGAGTCACGAATTACACAGGGCAACACTGGAACCGGATAAAGTGAACATGCGAACAACACGTCATGATAACTATTTCTTATTTTGCACGTATAATACCAAGATAGTCCACTCAAACGCCGATCTTCAATCTTTTTTTCAGGTAGTAGGTCGTATCAAATTCCATGTGGTCGCCTTATAAGAGACGAAAACAAGAAGACCGGAGTTCATCGATTAAGTGATGAAATCTTTGTTATTCGAAGAGGAATGGTCCTGTCATGAAACAGGCTTTGTCGTCAACGCGTTCCCATGTTGTCGCTCCATACATCATTTCCACACATTCTTTCTCTTCGCCGGGCCATCCTACATCTTCAACCACGCGCCATAAGGAGATCAGAGTCGCCAACTCTACTAACCGATATACCGGAAAATACCAGAGCTAAATTCGTTTTGTTAACAATGGAATGAAGTAATTGGCAGCAACGTGCCCAATAAATTTGTTGTAGCATTTAAATGCCAGAACAAGAAGTGGTGATGACAGTGGAGTGAATGCAAGATCGTGAGATTCATGTACATCTTGCACCTCTTCCACGAAAATTAATTCTTTTTGAAGAAGAGAGCCGCTGGACGTTTGAGTCATCTAACGGTATGACTCATGCGGAAGTCGATCACATCCTCACAAGCGGAGCATGGTGCCTGTCTAATCGTAATTATATATTAGGTGGAATTACTGCATTTTTTGTGAGAACATGGTATCAAACTGTGAGCTGGAAAGTAGTTTTTGTTGTTATTCTGGAATAAAAAAGCAAATTTTATATCACGAGAACATTCTTAACGAAATTCTCTCCTTGTATGGCTGGCAGTTAGAGGAAAACTTGGCCGTAGACCACGAGCTGGTTTTCAAAAGATACGAAACTTATATGCCGCACCCTCTTCAAGTCCTTAGAGACGATGTTCAGATCATATCTCTATCACCAGTAAGGAATTACTCAGAAGGAGCATAAAAGTCAAGTTTGATCTATAGCAACACACCATACACGGCTGATAAGAAATTGTGGCTGTAAAAGGTTTTTACAAAGGGACTTGCGTTGGTACAGGTAGAAAGGAAGGGGATCGAAAATGTTCTATTTTTAAGAACTGTGATCGGGAATTGTGCGAGTGTTATGTTCCGCTATTATCTATGGTAACTCAAGATGGGATTGCCACAACTTTCTGCCATAATATGGAATTAATAACAAAAAACTCCTATACCAATCCTTTTCAATCCACAATCTCCTATTAAACTCTGAAACCCTGCTGTAAAGAGAACCAATCAGAATTATTTCCCAAATTATAACTTCGAGTAGCGATAGAAAATATGAGGGGAGTAGCTTTAAGAAGCAATAATATTAGAACAGACCTTAGAGCTGGAGGCCATAAATTATATATGCTTTTCACAAACCAAATTACATCTTACCTTCAGAAGCAGAAGATCCAGTCCAGTAGAGAACTTAGCGCACGGTAATCACACCTGAGAAGGGTGACCGAGTGAATCTTCGTGGTTCAATATGCTTGTTGAGTGTTGTCCACAAGCTGTTTACGAGGAATATCCTAATGCGCATATCGAGGATTTTGGATGAAGCATAACCAGTTCAAAAAGCAGGATTCCGAAGGAAACTCTGCTTTTTCACCCTCATTCAAGCCACATTTCTGAGTCGTAAAAGTCTGTTTGGAGTGCCATCCGTCTCTTGTCCTAACTTCTGTCTAGTACGATAAAGTGCTTGACAGCGTTGAACGAGTGCTTTCCTATCGGCGCTGACCGACTAAAAAGTGGTGCATCTGTCGTTTACATAAGAGCTCTAGTTGGCCGCTATCGTAACTGCTGTTCAAAAATACAACTTTACCATAGACCTCTTACCATATTAATAGAAAAAGGCTTTCGGCAAAACAACAATAAGCTTATCAAAGCGGGAACAAGGATAGAGCTGTGCACAATCGGATGAAAGCTAGCTCTGAGGAACCAACGTTGCGTTGGTGAACAAATCGAACTATGGTTCTCTCATTACAGAGATTACCTCATAGGTATACAATGATAGTTCAGTTGACATGGAAAATAACATGAGGGAGGATTTACACAGAAGAAGCGAGGTGTCATGGGCAAGTACCACAGCAGAGAACAATGTAACCATTTAAGTGCTGGGTTTTGAGGAAATCAACCACGTCGAAAATTCTCTGCGAGCGCTTTGACGATATCTAGTGAGATACTACTGGTATAAATGGTACGTTGACGGACTTCACAGTTCAGATTTACGGAAGTTATCCCATTTTCGAGATTCGAAGTACTAAAAATTAAAAGGGAAACATAGATGTGCCATTCATCTAATGAAAAAGATCGGTGAGATATGGAGGAAAAGAACAATGGGTTGAACTCTAAAGGAGGCAAGCCTTCACTAGTGCGATTACCTACAAAACGAGTGTGCGTGTCTGCGGCTGAATTTACTAATCTATTTTTGCAGGTGCAAGCACCTTACAGGTCATGAGATGATAATCGCACTTGTCGAAATACTCTAAACAATCCATAACCATGAACTACGATTGCGAAGGGAAGAAGCAAACGGAAAATGCGCTTAGGTTCGCACTACCCCTAATGAGGGGCCGTGTGTGGTTACCATTTCGAATATGGGGGTATAAAAAATACTGAGATGGATTGAACATAAGTTTGAAAACACTTTCAAATGCTGACAGAAATGTAGTTGGATGGTAACCCGTAATGATATATGATAAATGCTATCTTGTATACCCCTAGAGCGTTAGAGGAGATTCTCCTCTATAAGTTTGTTAACCTTCTAATTCTTCAGTTTAGTCACTCAGAATTAAGCATCAGGCGTCATGCATTACTATGTAGTAAGATGTAGTCCAATATAAATATAAACCGGTGTAATACAGGGTTCAGAAAAGCGATGTGTCGACGAAGCCTGCTATGGCATTATCAAAGCCAGTGCGAATGTACAACATTTCCGTTTTAGAAGAGTTCTCTTGTTCGATATGACATCCCTTGTGTAATACCAACTTACATTCACTATTTTACTTGTTAACCACTTGACTTGCCTTCAATTTTCAGTTCACGTCTTGGTCAAACTCAACGATGTGTTTAGTTTACAGGCAACACATTGAAGTTGTAATTAATGTCATTTCATGTTCGACTCGTTATAGTACAAGTTTTCCATGTTGTCTGTTAAGTTACAAGAACTTTTTCCTACCAGTTCTCCTTATAGAGGCAATAGGACATTTCCTTCCAAAAAAAAATCTCGTATCTCAATACCTTTCCGGTCTGAATTTTTCTGGCTCCGGAAAATAACGTGTGTCGTAGTACACCGTTCCGTACTGTGGTAAAACCACCGTGCCTTTCGTTAAGAAAAATCCCATTATCTCAACGTCTTCTATCGTTCTAAAATAAAACACTAACAACATAAAACATTATTCTGTGAAAAAGGTCGTTCATTTAAAAATTCTGTTAATCAATACGGATTTTTGAAGCCATGTCGAGTTGGGTCATTGTCAGCGTTTAAAATGCTACTTTCAACATTAAAGTACTACATTTTTTATCATGGTGAACATCTTAGCGAAAGAACCTGTGAGGTATAGCCCAAGGTAGGACATTGACGACTCGTTGCACCTCTGTAATAGTGGCTTCAACGTACGGTAGTTGCTTTCGACGAGCATAGCACGGTTGTTCGCTACCGAACACCTGCATCGAATATCTTAAGTGAAATGGCTACAGTTCTAATGTTTTGAGACGTTTTGCAATATCCCAATTACTTTGAAATTTTTTCTCCGAAAAAATTCTGGTTCGTCTTACCTTGAATATTTCTTCGTAGCATTTTTCTTGAACGTCAGGGTAATAGAGCAAGTAGGCCAGTGCCCATCTCAATGTTGTAACGGTTGTTTCCATGCCGCCAGTCCAAAGGTCCCCGGAAGCCAAAGCCAAAGTGAAAACACTAAACTCAAATCTATTTCGATAGGTTAAGGAAATACCAAAGCTGAAAAATTTAGGAACTTTTCATAAGGATGAAAGAACATAATTTCTATAGATATCGAAGAAATAGAACTAAACTCTGTTTATCCTGGAGGATCCAAGGCCAATTGGTGACTTTTCAAATCCCTTGCAAATTCAGGAAAGGAAGTAATTTAAGGTTAAAAGAAAAATCAGGAGAAATTAATCGATGAATGCTTTGTTGTTACGACGACGTGAAACCCAATTTGGCACACGAGCAGAACACGGCGTGTTAAAATCCACGTTTAAGAAATGCTCCTAGTACTAGTTTCTGTTGCTCCGGTACACCTTGTTCTGGTATTACTAATTCAACAAAAGATAGCTCGATATTGCTCCAATCTCCGAATGAAAAGAGCTGAGTTTTCATCCTACGTCAAGCTGTTGTTTACGTCGACATGTCGTTTCTATGCGAAGGGATGTGTTAACAGAGCAAGTTAGTCTTGCAAGTTGTCGTTCAGCATAATTCTCACCAACTTACTTAAAATGAGGATTATCTTTTTGTACAGCCATCTCTCTTAGGTATGCCTCTATAAAATCTCGGGGCTCTCCATCCATTTCTAAATGCTGCTCGTGCTCACGTATCGCATTTAAAAAGTACCTAAAACATGTATCTATGATAACTTCTTCATTGCCTTTGTACTCTAACTCCAAGATTAAGGTGAAAAAAGAACAGGACGGTGAAGGAGCTGTATCAAATAGATTACGAGAAATAGTCCATCCAGTATTGATTTTAAAAGTATATTTAATGAACTAATACTTCGTTGTATTAAGAGCATCGCTCAAAATTGCTGTAAAGCTTTATTGTAGCTATCGTCTTCCTCAACATCGCGATAATTCGAGTCGAGTGTCCAGAGTTACTACTAGCGATTTGTACGCCTTCATAGTGGCGTCTTTGCTAATCGAGTGGAATAGAACACCGAAAAATGAATGAACAAAGTAAAACAGTTCTTAGGAATGCACTTGTATATACGACGATTCTTGAGGTTCCAGTGAGGTTTGATATCTCAACAAATAATTGCGGAAGATATTCGGTTCAAGCCATTGTCGGTTTGAAGAAGGCGTTTACGTCAAAACGTTCACCAAAACAAAGTTTTTTGGTCATCCCGTGTTACTTTCTTAGTGCGACAAGGTATTTATTACACTGTCCAAGGCTAAATAAAAATCGGTATTGAAAATATGATAACTATCATTCTGGAGTGTTAGCAGTATCATGTGAAATATCACAAGCAATGAACTGCATTAAAAGGAGCCGCTATTCACGATTCTACAAACGCTAGAATAGGGAATTTTTTTTGAAGTTTTATCTCTGGAGATTAGTCGAATGACAAATACGAAGATGTCACCTTTGAAGTGCAAATCCATTTTCCCTATATCTCCTCAAAGCCGGAATTGGAAGACAGGCCAGCACTGGATACGCATTGACGAGTTGGACTGACTTCGAAGCAACCTGACCGTTATTCTTCTAATTACAAAAAAAAACACGAAAAATCCAGATTGGGGACTTACGTCGGACAGCACGGCATCGATGAGGTTTTTGAACATGCGAAATTGAGGATCACCAAATTTGTGCCATTTTCCGAGAACAAAGTCCTGGATAATGTTCGCTACGCAGAGTGAGATTGGTTCTTCCATATCCAACTTGATTTGCTTCAAAGATTTACTTCAAATCCGGTTCTAACTGTGCACACAGTTCGAGAGCAAACCTGTTTGCCATATAGTTTTGCATCAATGTGACCAATCATGTAATCGATGTGATGTGTTATTTTCTCCTCCATTTGTATTCGGCCAAGACCGAAATTCCTTAATATTGAAGGATAACTATAAATCTCCGTAATAAACTATGCCAGAGTAATGAACCTGAATATCTTATGAGCAAATTCCCGGATTTGTTCCCATCTCTCGCCTTCACAAAGAATGATTCCATCGCCATGAACTGAGTCCTTCGTGAACATTGACCATATGTACCCAGAAGGGCGGCCAGCAAAAGCAGCTCCTAAGAATAAGGCATGAAATGTGTGGTTGTAAGCAACTTATGCGTTTGCTCGTGGTGTGAGCTAACTAATGCGCCGTACCTCTTTTTTTATTTTATTCTATCAAAGTAAGTTTGATTTCTACTCTATACGACCCGCCTTCACGTCTACTGTGAGGGTCCCAGCACTTCTCACGTTCAATTCGTGTCCTCGCACCCATCATCTACGAAGGTCTTCCAACTTTTTGCGCTTGCCTTTAGCTGCTGTTTGGGAATTTTCAATTCACTTTGAATGTCGTAGAATGCTGGTCCAGTAGATTCTCTCTGGAGTCCTGAGATAGCCGTGCTGGAACGTTCCCAGTTGTACCGCAGAGAGATTTTTTTCTAGGCAAGTCCGACACCAATTTCGCGACCCCGGTGGGGAGGGGTATGACAGGCTCGTGATGGTAAGCAACACTACCACTTTCCTATCCGCCTCATCTCATACATCTAATATTAGAAAATTGAAACTGAACTTGTTCGGGGCTGTATGCATTCAGTTATTTCCAACTTCCTTAACGGAGTCATATGTACAGAGCATCACTAATGAACAGATCAAAGGAGAAAGTTTTATGCTTTTTATCCTATACTACATGCGTTAATCATTGGGCAGACGCCTTGGTTCTGGTAGACTATGTTGGATCTTGGTATTCCTTATTCCTATAGTCTGTGATAATGTTTAGTAATAGATTCATTTGTGATGCATTATTTAACGTAGTGGTGCAGGTGTGCCTATCTAGGTTAGGAAGTCAAACTGGTGGACAAAATAGACCAAGAACTAGGCGCGAAAAAGCGAGCGGCTTGCGTAAAATAGCATAGTAAGTACGAAGATGGCGAAGATCACCCAGACTTACGCCCACGTTACTGTCTCTACAATTCTATCTTTCTAGGTGGTTCAAAGGCCTAGATGGTACAGAAGCACGATGACAGATCACTTAGCGTTATCGTGAGAGTAATGCTAGAGTATACGGGTTCAACACAAATAACTGATTATTCGCATTTCCTACCTAAATCGGTGATTAACGATCAGAAGCGTTGTTGCCTACTCCAAGGTGGAAAAATAGGAAGCGTCAGACACGTGATACATCACGGCGGTAACCAGTATACAAAATTTATTGATGTTTTAATCGAGTTGTAGGCCTAGGATACAACGGGAAGATTTCCGACCAGATAGGCAGACTTCGTCACGAGACTATCATGGAAGAAGGTTATGACGATTTTACGAGCCACACTGAACCTACTAAGCAGTTCTGGCATGCGAAAGAGACCAATGGAACTTTTATCAGCTTCCACTCGAATCACTGAAAGACCAACGAGGAAACATAGGAGATGATACTAAGATAAGAGATATGGTGGTGTTCTTGGAATAGAAATCACATAAAAGCCTGTAGATTTACGGTTAGGAAACATAAAAGGGGTTCCACTACTGCTCATGCAAAAGTTAAGCAAGCCATGTTTTACCAAATTCAAAAAAGACCTCATTGCCCGAACTCGGAAGTAAACTATATAGGGCAACTTTTAAAACAGGCAAGGATTACTAAGCATCATTACAAAAACAAGCTGCTTACAATTTTGTGGAGAGGCGTACTGTAGTTTGTGAGAAAGTAGTGCGCTCATTAGCAAGCAACATGTGTTTACTGCCGGTAGTTTTATAAAAGGGCACGAACATAGATAATCAGCGTGAAGCCTCTAATGGAAATGTATGATATGTTCTTCCAGGTCTCGAGTATTGGTGGCAAGCACGGTGCACGGCGAGATGGGAGAAAAAGTTTTTTTAAATTTTCGAGTGTCATTTTATTGTTCAAGAACGACTCACCCGAGTATTCACGAAATGAGCTGCAAGACCAGCGTGGCACTACAGTTTTCGCGCTATTTGCGAAAATCCGTGAGTTAGTTCGATGTGAGATGTGATTTGATTTGTCTTGATAATTTGTTCTCTGTCGGATTAGTTAAAGAAGGTTCAGTTAACTCCAACTCCAACTCCAAACTCCAACCAGCTGGTTAACTCCAATCAGCTGTAGTGATATTATCAACGACAAATCTGTCAATCGAATAGTTTCACTGGTGCAGGGAGGACTTTATGTGCGCGGTATCAACAACTTCATCTTTGACCACTTTCTTCAATGTACGAATCAGCCGCTATCTATTGCGAAATTGAAATTGGAGGAGGTAAAGGTGAATCTGGAGCCGTTTGCGGCAAGAGAACACCCTGTGGAGGAATCTATAGCGTAAGTAAAAATATAATTTCAATCGAAGAGCTTTCCTCATAAAACTCAACGTTTCTCTGCGCAATTAGAAAACGTAACACTATTACAGTTTTTGAGGAGAAATCTGCCGTTGTTTAAACGAGTAAGGCGAAAACATACCGAGGTAGAACTCATCAAGTTATCATCACACAGAGTTTTACACTCCTTGCTAGAAACTGGTAGTCATTACAGGGTTGGTCAACAATCAACTAGTGCAAAAATACCAAGGAACACGACTCCATCAAACGTCGGCCTTCAATAACCTTGACTGAATAAGAGCGCACGGATACTGATGAGCTTTGAAAAAGCGGAACTCTGTAGAAAAGTATCGAAAAAAGTTGAAAAAGAAAGGACAACAATTGTGACCTATAGTATTTTCTATGATTTCCTTGTTTAACAAATAACGCCCTAATGCATCTAATTCGATGCACTTGCTGAGAAAACAACTGCCTCTAAGTTTAGACAAATACATCTCAGTAATAACGAATTTGGTTAGCTTAGACAATTACCAATAGATCTGCCGATATTTATCTATAAGGTGCAGGTATTACCATTCTACCAAGTTTAGATTCTGATCCTCTAAAGCTCACAAAACCTCGGGATTCGATATTCAAGCTACAGAGCAATTCGATGGTATATCACCCAGTCAGGGCACGATAATCATTCATAATGTATCGCTGGTGTCTTTGGTTGCCATAGTTGAGCTAGAAATTTTAAAAACTTAGATTTCGCTCCAGATTTGTTGGTAAACCTAATTCCAGGCAAAATTTAATAGGGTGTTGTGTGTTAAAATAACTTGGTGGCTTTCAGATGCCCTGGTTGTTTTAGATGATTAGCAGAAACAAATCTTAAAACTATCTCTTAACTAACATTGCGACCAGGACGCGATGGCTTTCTCATTTCACGAAGTATTATTTACATAATCAGGCAGACAATATGGTCAATGAGGAATATTCTGCTATGTGACCTCAGCAACATCAAAGTGGAACACGTGGAAAACCTTCCATTACTGCTCATCTATCCATTTTCTCCACCACAACCTGTGTTGACACTACACATCGAATTACTGCAAAGACCAGAAATAATCGTTTTCGTCGTAGAATCTCTCTTCTAGAAGGTATATCCTTTCTGAACACGAATATTGCAGCACTGGATGAAGAAACATGCGATCAAGCTGGAAACTAGAAACCACCCACATTAGCAGCAGATCCGTAGAATTGCAAAGCCTAATGTATTTTCACGTGAGAACTGGATTCAAGTCTTCTCGGGCTACAATGTGCCACGACCTCTTGTCAGCTTTGCAGAAGCACAACAACTAACAAATTCATCACGGTAGTCATCTTGAAAATTAAAACGGTCGTCGGATGTGTACATGACACCATCCAAACGTGTCGTTTACGACGGTGGAAACGAATGAGGATCTCGGAAACAATAACAAAGTGGTGAATGTTTTGGGTGCCAACAGGTTGAATATTTGCTATTGAATAACTGGCTAGTATAAAAACAATATATAAAAAAGTGGTGTTTGTGGGGAAGTCGAGAACACGATGGAGATATCGTTCGTTGATATCGGTTCGATGATAACTATCGCACATTCAAGGCATGAAAAAAGAGCAACCGTTGCAACAACACTTGGAAGCTCTCCCAACGATCCCAGAAATGAACTATTGCTGATCCTTCGTTATAAACTCAATCAATGATCAACTAAATGGCCTAATATTTAAGTCCTAATCTAACATTTCTTCTAACATATGTGGACGGAATGTGAATGTCAACGAAAAAAGCAGTATTGCGAATGATAGCTACTAATCTCCAGACCTCGACGATTTTCGGTCAGTTGGTGAAAAACTCAAAAGCGACCACACAAAATGTATAAAGATCACCTTGGCGAATGAGTGACTCCTTAAGCACTTCGTGACTCGCCATGACGATCATCGGATGCGGAAGCCACACGGTGTAGATGGGCCCATAAAGAACATGCCACTGACTGAATGTCTTTGCCGGGTTACGCATGTTGATCTGAAAACTGCAAACTGCCTCTCCTTATAGTGAACCCACCAAAAGTTCCTAGTCTTCAAGAAGACCTACACTTTTTCACGTTGGTCACATTATCAATGAGTTGACTTTCGAAACATGGAATTTCTTATAAGTTCATTAGAATCGTTTGCACTATTCTTATTATTCCCTGTTCCATTCCCTTTATCCTACTTTTCTTTCTTGTTTGTTAAGTTTTCAAAATGAGAAACAATACCGATAGGGTGTTTCCAATCAGTGGCAAGGGTATCGGTCCAGGCGGAAGGCCGCGTCTGCGCCAATAGAACTGGTGAAAAACGGCGATGATCAGAACAGTAAGTGCGAATGAGTACCTGATATAATGGGAATCACGATTGTGACTGAAAGTCCGTGTTGCTACGATATTCTTTCATGATGTGTTCTTTTTTTGCCATACTCCGTCGTTTATTTTTCTCAGCGCGAACGTTGTTCGGTCTTTTTTAAAATGTCAATGCAGAGCTTCAGATGTAAGCATGTACACTAAGAAATCTTACAACCTCAACTTTTTCTAGAAATCGAAGTATTCGGTTCCTCGACAATCCCTGAAAAGTTAGCATTTTTCTTCGTTGTATGGACCACTCAATTAAAGTACTGTAGCGATAACTGTGCTTCAGGGTTATTTTTGGCACTGAGTTTTGAAAATGGCTGTATAACTTGAGATAAGAAGTGAGATGAGATAAGAAAGACAGCAAGCTGCTCTTTGAGTTCGCACTTGTGTTACGCTTTAAACTGATGGACAATCAACAATAAGGTGATCCATGTTTCTAGTGAGAAGTCTGTAAGAATGTTTATGCTTTGCATACTGCTTTACGCACACTGAACTACACTGAAATGACAATGAGTCGAAGTTTGAAGATGAGCAACCGTGTAGAGGGAGCGAACCTCTTCAACACTCACCTGATCATCAGAATAAGCGATATTGTGGCGAACACACAAAGTGAAACGATTTCATTCCGTTTCATATCCTTCTTTGATGTTGTCATTCTGTAACCAATCATAGCTTTCTGTTCTTTTTTTGCAATTACTCACTCAAAAGACAGGCGACAACAACTTTACAATTTACTTCTAGAGGTGTATTTCTACAGGAACCTGTTTTTTCATAAAGAAAACGCGTGACAGGATAGGTGCCCATTGCTATTCACAAACCGGGCATGATAAATGCGCAAAACTCAAGAGGAAAGGAATCAAAAGCAGGACATTCCATCGGGGAACGTCACCTGCCCTTAATGACGAGAACGCGAACTTTGGAACAGAAAGAGTTGTTTAAAACGGAACTAATATACACAGTAATATATCATCTCTTCAGTGTTTTTCATCATCCTATTGTTGTTTAGTATGACGAATGAAAGACCAACCGAATCCACATCTCGGTCAGTAAGCCTTTTCGTTTTTCATTGTAAAGCGCGACACTCATAAGACGATCAACAAAAAACGTGAAAATTGATTGTAGTACCGGCGAGCGTAAAATCGCTAGAACCTATCAGGTGAATATAGGAGTCAAAAGAATGCAGGTTGTACCAATAGGGAGACTCCCGAGTTTTGAAGTTTTGTAACCTCACCTATCCTACCTATAGTATCCCAATCACAAAAGTGCTGAAATCATTTGTTACTAGCAACATAATTATGTTTTTCGTATATAGCTTTGGAATTATGTTATAGTGGTGAGGCAGTTGCGCGTTTCCCTAGTTCGTTTCAATGTATGATTATCTGTTTAGATAGCGCCAAAGATTTGTCCAAAGGTGAATAAAAAAGTACGATGTGTTATAAAGTTCAGAGTACACGTTGCAACTTGAGAGGCATCGAATAGTCGACAAACCCTAGCCATTGCTTCTACTCTGTTTTCGCATGCTCACAATGGAAGCGCTATGTCTTGAAAACTTCCCATTACCCCCTTCATGACGAAGAAACTGCTCCTTACATCTCCTTTCACTTCAGTTGCGACAACCGAATATTAAATAGCGAATGATACTAGCAGTGCTGGTGTTCTTCATATCCACATTCGACTACCTGTGAAGACTTATGCATGCCAGTACCGTCCTGATATTCCTAGCAATCTGCAGCTATCATGAAAAGGACAAACTATAATAAGTTAACTATCTACGTTGTCTAGACTGAGGTTCGCTTAACCAGTCTTTCAGTAGCGGAATTGAAGTACTCGTTGCTGCGACAATTTATAGGTATGGAGAGAAAGTTTAAATCCTGTGAAGTGCAAAAGAAATAACTTTCGAGAAAAGACTTCCTTGCATAGAATCGTAAAAAATAAAGCAAGTGGAATTCATACGATCAGAGTTCCCATAGGGGATAAATAGTGTACAAATTCACAAATGGAAACCCTTAGCTGCTCAAAAATTTATCCACTGAGAAATACTGCGCTCATTGTATGTGTTTTAGATGGAAACTGTTCCACCGATGAGAAACATCGAGTGTGGAACGTGAGTGAGATCAACACTACCAAAGGAGAAATATGGAAAAGAAGATGTCAAGCCTGGGAATGAAATGTTTTGTATGGAAGAATAATTTGTGGCTACAGTAGCCTCCGTTCGATATCTGCGAAGCGCGCACGCGGTTCACTTTTTACCGACGAGTGCGTAAAGTCTCCGAAGAGTAATTTCTCAACCGAACACAAAGAACACAAAATGAAAATTAGAAGGCAAGGTGAAAAAAATTTACGCAGTTCTTACGAAGGAAAGAAATATGATTTGTTTATTTTCGATTCTGCCTTATTTTTCAGTGATTTTTCGACGCACTGAATTCATTTTGAATATTGCAATTAGTGGAAATGTTTAGGTACCCTAATCGCGATTATTTTACCCATTCATCATTTCTTTATTTCTTCAGCGATTAAAGAAACAAGTATGTGGTGATGATGTTATTGTTGACTGAGAATTTGCAGGTGTTGATAGGATCGAGATTTCAACAAAGATGATCTAAGAGAATTCAGATATACTAAGAAGAGTTCCTGACAAGCTTTACGAACTTCATAGCACTTACGAACTTAATACCAACACGTTCAAAACAACAGTGATGATACGACGGTACTTGAGTTCCAGTACCTTCAAAATGTTTAAATAGTTAAAGGACGAACTTTCGAACAAAAATCTAAACACATAACACAACTTAAATAGCAACAGAACGACTTAGAACACAAGTACTCCATCGTACTCAAGTGCGACTTTCCGTTGACCTTGTCCTTGACAATGAAGTGCTTCATTTTCGATAAGCCGATTTGATTGTCAGATAATTGTTTGAAGAAAAACCTTACTGCGTACCACGCGGTATTCACCGTTGGATAGTAAGAACATCAGCCTCAGCGCAAAAAAACTAGTATTGCGTTCTTTGGGAGGCGCTCATGTTCTTTGGCAAAGAGGAAGTTCACCACCGCACAGTAGAGAATCAAAGAGCGCTTGACTAGTAGTTTTCGAATACTAATGTAATCGAATAATACGACAATCATTTCTGCCTCGCTGAATTGTTTATTGCAAAGCATTGTATCCTCAGAGATAATTAGTTTTTCACTTCGCTGTGTCACACAACAACAAAGGGAAACTGCAAAACATCTCCATGATGTAGAAGACGTCGACCAGCGGTTGCAGACTGGGTTTCGAATCGAGCACTAATCGAAGGTTTTGAATGGTTGAAATGGAAGTTGAATCACTTAAGATGAAGAAGTAGGCAGGTCGATGAACACCACAGAGGTTTGGAACCTTTCGATGCCAGAACCAATAACGAATGAACTACGATAATGCAAAGGACCTAGAAATGTGTAAACAACATAAAAAGTGTGAATCGGACACGGTATGCAATCCTTCAAACAATGCTGTCATGTCGTGCCACGCATCATGTAGACGACCTCAGAAGGTGTGATGTCTCTTCGCAGCACTAAACATCTCTTAAGAGAATAAACGCAATTTGGAAAAGAGCTAATAATTCAGCGAACTCAACAATACGGAATAAAGAAACTTGCTTGGGACAAAAAAATTTGAACTTGAACAATTTTTAAGAACGAATAGCGCTTTGATTGACACCAACGCCCTTTTGTCAAACAGGCACGCCGTGGTCAGCAGAAACAACGGCTATCCCACTTCACAGAGAACATCAGCCAGCTAAGAGGATTCAGACATTTACTTCTGGTCTGACTGCGGCGTAATCATGAAGCATCTCTCGTCCTCCTTCTCATGGACTAGCTACGTAGTGTCTTCGATCAACACTGATTTTTTGCCGTTGTTCCAGTTCTTAATGGATTTTTGGAAATCGCCAGACAATCGTCATCGCTCCTCGAATATTTCTTCGAAGTTGGCTGAGCTTAACCACTTTGTGAGTTTATCGCAATCAATATGGGCTTTGTCGCCGAAGTGGAGTCGTGTCAATTAAGAGGCTTTTTTCCAAAGTCCAAAATCCATGCTTTCCCTACATCTCCTTTGTAATCGCTTCTAGATTTGCCAGAATACGGAAGAAAAGCCGTCGATGTTATATACTTCTTTAAATTACTGACTTTATAAAATCAGAGAAAATCTGTGGGCTTTCAGTGAAATTATTTGGAAACTCCTCCCAATTTCTATCTTTACGATCCTTCTACTATCCCTTACAGCTAAAGGTGCACTTCATTAAGATTCTCGTGCCAGGATACATCTATTTGCGGATTCACCTCAAATCACACAAGTCTTAGCCTGATCATGATGGCTAGCGAGAAATGATCGGACTCTATAGAAGCAGGAAAATAGCACACGATGTTTGTAGCACTTCCTGTCCGTGTAGCTTCGTCTCATTTTAGTTGTATCCATCTGACTAACCAAAGCGTTTATTTCTTGATGTGCTTTCAAAATTTCTAGAAAATAACCGTATACGACTTGACAGACTAAACAAAGCGATTTTTCACCATCTCGCATAACAACTGTCGATACTTGTGACCACATGCGGAGAATTCGAGAAGTGCGTTCACTCTTAGATGTAAATACGTTTACTTGTTTGTTGGTCGACCGCATGGCACACTGCCGATCGCAATCAATCGTGTTCAGTATAGACCAACATTGACTATGCATCAATACAAAGAACGGAACACTGTCAAAGAACAGCAGGAAATCAATGTGGAAAAGTCTGCTTGTAGATGTCGAATAACTGTTTGAGAACGTCGCTCGGCAGCTGGTTAATGATCCTTCGCATCCGCATCTCGACCTGCTTCTCGTTCTCCATTTGCTTTGCTTCCAGAAGTTCGACTACCTGAACGAATCAGAATTTCTTCTAACCGTTGCAGTTTGCTTAACTCGAACTCAGTTTCTACTGAATTATTCACTGATGAGATGTCGTAAGGAGATTTCCGACCTTCTTTGCAAAAATCTCCGTATATAAATGCTCGTACTCACAGCTTCTCGAGTCCGCTCATCTTCTACATTCATTAAAAACTCTTCCAGGCCATGAATATCCGACTCCTCAAGAAGTTCTGCAAAAACAGATGCATTGAAAAATATTTTTTTCACACATGCTCTTCATCCGTTTGCAACTGTGCGCGTCCAATTGTCAACTATTTTTTGAAAATGGTCTGAGAACTAAGGAAATTTTATAGCTCTTACAGTTCTTCCTGAAAAATAAAGACACCAACATATCACTAATCGATAAGTTCGTTGAGAAGAAGGGTCATAGTTTCTCATACCATCGCAGGTCCGACAGTAGAAACGCTACGTCATGTTTGAAAACATGCTATTACAGTTCTCGTGAAATGACTATTTCGATCGATTGAAATAGTAGGGCGTGAAACTTGTCCAGTATTTATAAAGCTTACAGTTTACTTCTTTCCAATGATTTACGATGGTATTAGGATTGCAGAAGTGTCGAATTGCGATTTATAGTGGACGACTTCCTTTCACTAAAACTACCGAAGTAGAGTATTTCGATCGCCCAGGTGTCCAGCTAAGAGTACGCCATGCCAGGGTCAGGAGAACTACCCGTAGTCTACCTCTTAGCCCAAAAGAAAAGTGAAAAAAGAGCGCTACACCAAAAAATATGGTGCTCTTAGTGTCTTACAAACGAGCCAAACCCACTGAGAAGCTCGGGTGCGCGCACATGAAGAATATAGCCCCTTGGTGCCTGCAGTTACTGGATTTCTTCTTTGTTTGTTTGACCAGTTACTACATAAACTGGAAATCCTGTACAAAAAGAATAGATTGTGAAGCTCGAATTGCAAAAAGTGTGGATGGACGTGAAGTAATCACGTTGTGGGTGTTTGAAATTGTTCCAAAGGCCTACACTGCGAAAACAGACCGATGAAGCGCATTGTGTAAGCCCATGTAAAACTCCGATGTATAGCTAATCAATGATATCTAGCTTAGTGCGCCTTTAGTAACAACGGTTTCCGTGTTAGTCTGCATAAACGTTAAGCAAAGAATCCCTATGCTTCTTGAAGTGAACAAGCTCCTCACAATAGGTGTTTTGCTAAACAAAAATGTGCACAGAACGGCTTTCCTCAAACCATGTCTTATACCCCATGAGTGTCGATTCAATAGAAAACGTGCCGTTAAAAGAAAAACCTCTGTACAGCATAAGAAACTAACAGGAAAGCAATTCAAAGGACAAAGGATAAAGTTCTCGGCGTGTACGGATGGGCCATCCATTCGACTTCGTCAAGCATGACAATGATTTACGCTAGTCTGCTGATGTATCGAGGCAGTGCTGCTACTCTCCCAGGCAGGTGTGACACCAATTTGCCGACTGCTTAGGAACGGAGAGCATGGTGAGACTAGGGCACGGGATCGAACGCTTGTGTATTGCAGGACAGCTCTAACCACTGCGCTACAAGCGCCCTTGGAAAGAAGGCAATGTATTGAAAATAATGCACATCGTTCAGTTTCCCTCAAGGACGTATGTGTTAAAGTTAATTACAAATGGCATGAGTAAGTTGTCTTGTCTATGAAAGACATTATTTCCTCCATATCTACACGGTATGATACACTGTTATGAAATTAAAAAACTAAGTGAGTAGAACAGGTTTAGAGACGCATATCAAGATGCTTAGAAAACACTGTTCGAATTATACGAGCACCCAAAACACTTTCACTGACCGTTGCGTTCTGCTGGAAACACGCCACTGATTTCCTGCTTGGAACAGCCCAAGCAGGTGAGCGCCACGTATATAGGTTGTGACGAAAAAATTTACTAGATTGCAGTTACCACAAATGAAAAAGGATGCAATTACCAGGACCGACTTTCTATTAACCTCGTCATTGATTGATAATTCGATGTTTTTCTTCAATAAGCAGACATGAGGTCTCGTGTCTGTTTATTGAAGAATCGAAAAAGATGCGCCACTCCCATAACTTTTTGTCATATCTCTTTATCCATTATCCACTATCCTTTTGTCCTTTATCCTCTTATTCCTTCCCAGGCACTTTTCATCCACTCAGTAGCCTTGATCTTATCCTATGGCATGACGTAAATGACACGAGTTCGAAAAACACTGCACTGTCGAGAAGCACAACAGACGGTTAGGTATACCTTTGAATGGTTGTAATATGATATACTCGTGCATCTATTTTTAGCTTTCGAGCAAAACAAAAAGCTATCTGTACAACTTTGCTGCAGTCTGCATCGCCCTTCACCTTGGAAACGCGAAGAGAGCAGTCGAAATGATGAAGAAAAAACAATCTTTGCTGAATGAGTAGCAAAACAGTCGCTTTGAACATATACGTTCATTCGTCTTCGAAGTTTTGTTATTTGGCTTTCCCAGGCCATAACGATAAAAGCGGCGTCCATGCATCACACAACTGTTCCTTTCTGATCGTCTTCAACAAGTCTACTGCGATCCTCTGGGTAGATGTAAGCAGGGTGCACCCTAAGTTATCAATTTTCCGTGATAAAGTCTTGGACTTGGACATTTATCTGATATTCTTGCTTAACACTTGGTCATTAAATGACATTTGAATAATTTGTCTTAACTGTTGTGGATATTTCCAACGATTTAGCCCCTCATCATGGGTCGGAAGTGTTCCGTTGGGCTTCAATGTTCAGTGAGGGTTTCATCACCCTAGCACAGCCTCCCAGGTTGAGTAAGAGTTCCAAGTTTTCATCTGGAAAGCCAGTTAAAAGTAAACGGTAGTAGGATTCACCACCGTCCCGGTGTCGAACTAGCCGCGTGGTGGCAAATCTCCCTCTTATCCACAAAGGCTGCCTGGAGTGGCGCCAACCTGTGGAAGCCTTCGGCTAGGCTGACCTCGGGACTCCAGAGAACCATAATAGTTAGGCCAGCAAATCTCTGGAAAATGGAAATATGCTGCGATTCACACAACCAGTGAATACGGCTCATCCAAGTATCCAACAGTATTGCTGTGGAAAGTTTTAAACTTAGAGTCACCCTAGCATCGCTACAGTGGAAATAACAGAGAATTCAATATGATGAACAAATGAATGTTCGCTAGCTACTGTGGACAATCCGTCGACTGCCAGTGATGCATCATGCTGCACACCTGGTCGTGAAATCAGCAACATCTGTCAGAAACGATCGTCTGGATGTCGCGAAACCGTCTCGCCTTTTGATGAACGGCCATTTCTGTTTACGATCTCACCCATCTATCATTTTCGCCATTGGCAGAAATCAGCGGACAGATATTTCTATACGTGAATAGATTTCTAATTTCTGGCCTTTCAATAAACAACAACAAATGACGCCATGATGGAGCCATGGTGGGAAAAGGGTTTGTTTTTCGGATGGAAATAGACCATGAGAAGTTTTCATCTAAAGCATCTGGGAAAAGATCGTGATGAGATTTTGCGACCGTTATACAAATATTTTGTTAGATCAAAAGTTATATGTGAACTCCGTATAACGTCCTCCTTTCGATTATATTTGTCCCAACTTCTACAAGCTGGATAAATTTTAAAAAATAAGAACAAAGCTCTCAGCGCTGATCAATCCCTGAGGGATGCGCCATGCATTCGACTTCATTAAGGATCGTTTGGAGGTGATTGATTGCATATCTGGCCTTTACAATGAGTGGCGGTGGCCTACCGATATTTCGAGCCAGTGCTGCTATCCTTCCAGACATGTTTGGTACCAGTTTACAGAATCCGGAGGGATGGAAGACTAGGTGGGCCATGGGCATGGGGATTGATTCTACGTGTGTGTTGCAGGGCGACCCTGACCACTGTGCCAGAAGCTCAATAGAGGGAACAAAGTCAGGCAGGACTTGGCATTTTGCTCTGTGTAGTAAAATTGGTTTTGCGCATGGAAATCTTTAGCGCAAATACTCCAGCTTTTGAAACAGCATATCAAATCTGGCGAGAAGCTCAACGGGAAGAAGATGTTTGTTAAAAACTTATGAGAACTATGATACTGACCACTAGAGAAGAACATTTGTATAGCTGTTTCAAAAGTTAAAATGACAGCTGATCGAGTAATGAGATGAGTCAGATGAACTCTGTCCATGTAGAGCAATGATTTGTTTTTTGAAAATCTAATTCCATAAATATAATGAAAAGTACAGGTGCTACAAACCAGCGAATAAAATCGAACTAGGCTAAAAATGGAATGACTTGCTTCATAAAGAACGGAACTCTTCCCACGGTTCTCTACCTACGATGTTAAGGAAACGAAAATGTGCTTGACAGGTTTGTGAAGAAAACGCGTAAATAAAAGACAGTGAAATATAAAAATGATTGCTTCTTAAAAGCCTTTGTAGTGAAGAACATATCAATGATAATAATAACGTTTCAGACTGCCATGGTTAATATTTATAATAATAATATTACTATTTAATCAAATGGTAATAGATGCACACAGGTCTTAGTAACTAGCTTGTGACATCTAGTCAAGCTTGCGTTTTATAGGCAATGGCAATCGGCGGTGGATCGACAAGCACGAAGATCAAAATTGCTTCGACAAGTCTGAGTCAAACGTACAGCGAGTCAGAAGGAAAAGTGTTTCAGTAAGATTTCTTTGACTTGTTGAAGCAAGAGGAATTACAGAAACGGTGAGTGGGTTTTTTGTCATTGCGACGAAGAAGCTTCCGCTGCCATGCCAGTATTTACAAACAATCTCCATTCACATTGGCGGTCACACAGTTCACTATGACTTCACTCTTTTCGCCCGTTTTCGCCTCGAACACATTTTTCTGGAGCTCTTTATTCCCACGGCTAGAAGGCCTCGCATGACTGAGCGTTGGAACGACTCCAATAAGGTTCATCGTCCAAGACGAATGTGAAAAAGGATTACGGTCGAAGAGTGATGAATTGCCATTGAACGGATTTGGCGACCATTCGAAAAAAAAGACTGAAACCGTTGCCAACAATATATTATATGCTCACTGCATTTGAGCGTTCTCTTGCTACGCAAGAGTTCGAGGAAACACATAAAAATGTTCTCGGCCCGATGTCTTTGCAACAACCGATGAAAAGTAACGTCGAATACCTCTGCACCACTTCCGTTCGTACAGCAGTCACACTCTCTGATTTCTTCTACTGACACACAACTTATGACTTCTGCAGAAATTAATGATTCTTTTTTCAAAATGCTTTTTCACTTCTACCGACAAGGCTCGTTTTTGGAAGCCCAGCACCTATGAACAAACTGGAATTCTTTTAGCAGGAAACGATGGTGTTCGCCAATATGTCGGTGAAGTGAGTCCCTGAACCGACTTTCTATCAACCTCTAAATCGATGAACAATTCGCAATTTTTTTTGGTAAGCACGCAGGAGGTTGTCATAATACTGTTCATCCATTTAAAGTTTCCGCGGATATGGCCCTTTTCAACGACTGGAATGGTGAGGTTAACTGCAACCAACTCAATCGAAAACCTCCACAACCTCAACGGAGGAAACAACAATATCCAAGCTTCAACCGCGTTGAAAAAAAAGCTTCTTCACATACTCACCGTTTTATGTGAGCTTTTCACTGAGCATTTCACGTGAAGACGAATAGTACAAAGTTGACATAAATGGGTACTGCTTCCCTTTCAAGTTAAAATATACCAGTCTGAGATAATGTGTGAAATCTCCCGTGATAAGGAATCCTGCCTGTCTGCGACTCGTTTTTGGACTCGCGGAATTTATCCAGAGTTCATCGAGAATTTTGCGCGTTGAAGTATTTCTTTGCGAGGATAGTAACTTCCACTTCAAAATCTTCTCTATGCTTGTGTCCTACGCGCGCTTAGTGGAGATTCTGCTCTAACTTAATTTTAGCGACTACGTATGCTTTTACTCCGACTCGGAGTGGCTTACCCGTTTCGGAAATTTATCCACCTCAGCATGATTTTCAAGAGATCGGGTGCATCGGACTCGAGTTCATGGAAACAACGTCTTTGCCATCACTAATTATGCAAGCTTGCGTTCTGCGCACACGGTTAGGCAAACGGTTATGAATAAACTGACGTCTTAGTGAACCGCTGTATTTCAATTAGTGCTACCGAATTCTCTATACCGCCCTCCTTCAAGCGACGTTTTACAATTGCAGTTACTTTGTTCGAAATAAAAGAGAGATCAAACATGTCCTTATTCTCTATAGATATATCATTTGGGAGCGTGATTATTGGTCTAATCCTATCCTGGAAAGCCACCGTTTTATAGCCTTTGAAGGTGGTTATTTGTTATACCAGTTTCATGGGTTCTTCCTACTGTTGTCTTCTTGTACACGCATTTGTCGCTGCTTGAAACAAGTTTCTCACAAGCGCCCTTATTTTGTGAGAAGGTTCAGGAGCTAATTGATGTTTTTCACTCTCGCCGTTTACTCAAGCGTTTTTTAGACAATTCGACCCCAATAATGAAGTTGGTGTCAAATTTGGATATCTTCGGACGAAAAACTCAAAATCGTTAATCACTCCGGCCCCATGAAGTTTCGCCCAACCTCGCTCATACGAAAAGCGTGGTATGTGAGAAGTTCGAGAGCTGATAAAGCTAAAAAAAAGCATTAGGCTATCTGTTAGTGATAAGTGAGGAGACTTCGTAGTAATCCCTCACCAGTTAAATATTGAGATAACGAAGAAACATCTTGCAGGCTGTCACTTTTATTGTCATTCATCTGAGATGGAACTCAGAAGTCAATGAAGAAAACTGAACAAGGAATGGATCAAAATGGCAAAAACGGCAAATTAAGAGGCATCAGTTATGTCCCAATTTAAGCTTGAGTTACGGACATGTTCCCTCTTGTACCTAGTTATCAAAACAGATAAGTCATTATCCACTGATGATCTTGCGTCTACCGACTCATCAACATTCAATGTTAAACCGACCATCGACCGTGTATACAGCCGAACGAACAGAATATCATAACCTTAACACATACCCAATTATGCAAATGCATTCCAGCCCATCTCACGAATACCCAGATGTTCGTCTAAGTAAACCGCGTGCCAGCAGCGCGTGCATAATTGAGTCCTCCCGTATTACCGCCCATTGTACAAGCGTGTGGCATGGCTCTGCAATGCAAGCCATCCTTGAACTTCTTATACAACTTGCAGAAATAGCAAACATGTATGGCATATCGATTTAATAGCTCATATATCTCTTAAAAGAGTGTCCAAACTGTTCATTCTTTAGATGGTTAAGGAAGTATTTTGCACAAATGAGATGATTGCCAATGAAACAGCGACTGGCCCCAAGCCTTGTCATTGCATTTACGTTTAGATAGAAGCTCCTGTAATCCATTTCCAACCATTGCTTTACCGTAGATCTGTAGATGATTGTTTTTCATCTGCTTCACACGAGAGGGGATTAAGAAATGTTTCGAGTTGTTAAAGGAACGGTCAGAGTGCAGAAAATTCACTCGAGAGAAACGGAGAGATATTGGGTTGTTCAGAAATAAATAAGCGCTTCAAAATATTTATTGTTTTAATCTATTCTTTAGTAATAAAATATTCTTTGGACCTTCTAATATCACATATCATTGGAAAGCTGATTTCATGCTCTTTCTAGTCATATTTTCGCATTTTGTCAAAATTTAATTTTTCACAAATTTTGAGCTTTGCAATTTTAGATATCAAAGACTAATTTTCCTCAAATTTTGTTTTATGAGTTCAAACTCGGGCGTAGTGCAACAGGGCCGGCACGAACGAAACATTATTAAAGTTTGGGGTGAAGGTAGTGTTGGTGAATCGGCAATGCGAACTTGGTTCCGGAAATTCTGATCTGGTGAATTCGGCCTCAAAGATAAAGAAGGCCGCGGACGTTCAAATGAAGTTGACGACGACGAATTGAAGGCACCAGTGGAAGCAGACACGCGAACAACTGCTCCAGAGCTTGCAGAACAGCTTGGAGTAAGCACAGAAACAATTTCCATTCATGATTCAGAAACCCACTTTCTATACATAAAAAGTTGATATATTTATTTACACGTTCTTATAAACTGATATTGTCGAGCTGATGCGAGGTTGGCACAAGTTTTCGTTGTCGTTGTTGTTGGTGTTGTTGATCGATGCTTTTGACGTTTCGGCAATTTCGCCTTCCTCAGAGCGTCGACGTATTTCATGTAACGGTATCCTCAATTCGGTGAAATATTCATAGCATTAATGAAGATCAAACTTTCAAACAAACGCCATATTGATTAGAAAGGCTACTCACCGTGTTGTTACGAGCGGGACTGCCCGCGCGTAGTTCACGTGGGGCAGCGGGCGAGACTCATCAGTCAGTGGTCAACATCACTTGTATCACCCACCTGTAGTCCCGTTGATCGTCCAGTGACTCAAACTGGCGCCAGTAAATCTTCCATTTTTCCCTGTCGAGTGCAAGAGTAGTCCAGTGAATTTTGCTCGCTCTAGGGTCTCGTCGAGCATCATATCTTTCTTCAAGGCTCCTTGTGAAGAACTCTAACCATCGGGTCGGTGGTCTTCCTGCAGTACGTTTGACATCCCGAGAAATCTAGTCATTAACGGCTCTTGTCCATCGGTTGCCATTCATACGCATTACGTGTCCGGCCCACATCTTCGACTGTTTGGTGTACAGAACGGCATCTCTCATTTTTGATCGTTGAAGTAGGTCGGAACTTCGGATCCGTTCCCTTACTTGCGTGACACGGGATACTCCTAGCATCGCCCTTTCGACTGCGCGTTCGATAACGCTGAATGATCTTCCATCCTGATTGCGCAGCGACCAGGTTTCTGAAGCATACGTTAGGGCAGGCAGTACCGTTGAGTCGAAAAGGTGGGCATGGAGTCGGGCGTTCTTTGTTCTCTTCACTACATCCTCGATGCTCTTGAAAGCTTCCCAAGCCGCTCGTTTCCTTCTGCGCAGCTCTGGAGCAAAGTCGTTCATCACATTGATTTCCCGACCTAGACAGACATAACTGAAGCATTCGGTGATATTCGTTCCGTTGAGCATGAATGGGGCGTACGAAACCAATCCGTTCTTCATGAACATCGTTTTTGTGAGATTTAGTCGAAGATCAATTTTTCCACAGGCTTTATCAAAATCGGCAGGCATACGTTCCGCTTTGCTAATGGTTATAAGGACTATGTCATCAGCAAAGCGAAGGTGGTGCAACTACCGACCATCGATTTTCACTCCCATATTATCCCATTCCAATGTTCGCATGACGTTATGGAGGGTGGCGGTAGATAATTTTGGCAAGATAGTATCCCCTTGACTAACTCCTTTTTTGACGTCAATGTTAATACCGTTGTAGAATGGTGATATCTTGGTTGTAAAATTTTTCTACAGCTCACGAAGAATCTTTGTGTATTAACTCCTTGACTGCTTGACTATCAAGGTCTTCCAAGACTGCTTCTATCTCAACTGAATCAAAGGCCTTCTGTAAGTCGATGAAAGTGAGACAGAGCGGTCTTTTGTACTTTTGTGGTGATATTTCAATAAGCCTTGTTATCGTGTGGATGTGGTCCATCGGACTAAATCCTTTCCGAAACCCTGCTTGCTCACATGGCTGCCCTTCGTCCAGTGTTCTGTCAGTCCTCTTTAGGACAATTCGAGTGAAGAGTTTGTAGAAGGCAGACAGTAAGCAGATAGGATCCGCTAGTTGCGGATATCGTGGATGTTACCATTGTTGAAAAATAGCACGGCCTTGCTGGCTTTCCACTGAGTAGGACCTTGCATTCAGACAGGTGATGTGTAAAGAGCAGAGCCAGTGTGTTTACGAGGACTGAAGGAAGGTTCTTCAGGTATTCTGATCTTATCCTGTCCGGACTTGGTGCTGTTCGTTTTTTCACCGACGAAATGGCATATCGGATTTCGGAAAAGAGAA